CCAGTGAATGTGTGTAGCATCTACTCGAATTCAATGCCAAATCTTATAAAAAAATAAACTTATATGTACATACGTACGTAGCAATAGCTCATAAGTGCCAAATGTGCTTAGAAGAGAAATGTGAATGAATATTGTGATTTACTCTAACTAATGGGAAAATGTTTATTCATGTCTTTCATTGGGCAATTTAATGCGCTTAATCCATTCTTAGTTTTATGCAATTAATATGTTTCGCTTATTCAATTGAATTCTTATTTAATATGTGTTAATTAATTTCCATTATGATATATTTAATATGATTTCATTTTGGCTTCCGCTAACAATAAATACCTTTCCAAACCTACACATAAATACTGATAATTTAAATTTACACAAAACAAACAACAAGCCCTTACATTATTATTATTATTAAATTTTTATTGAATTTCGATGAACAATTTCTAAATCAATTTCAATTGTTTGTCGCGGCCATTATTACACCTGTTTATTTATGGCCAGTTTTTATCGAAAATAAAAAACCAAAAAATTGTGAAAAAAGCTTAAGCATATACACACACACACACACCCACACACACACTTGCATGTACAAATTTTAATTACATAATTCGCTCATTATCAATGACAACAACAATTACAGCAACAAGACATTGCAAAATCGCCGTAAAACAAATGAAAAAAAAACCGAAACGATACGAAACGAAACCAAAACGAAAAGCCAGAGCTGGAGTCATAAAAACGGTATATAAATAAATTAAATGCGCTTCGCTATAATTTATATTAATTAATCGGTTTATTTTTTCATTGGCTTTCATTTTTATACCCTCTCAGTGGGGCGCTATGATTTTACTTGATTTTAGTAAGCGAAATCCACAAAAATGAATCTTTAAATTCGTAAATTTGTTCAAAACTGGAGTACAATATCTATGACAGAGCCACAATCCATATGTAAGTGTATCATAAACTTCGGCCTAAATGCTTGCCCCACTTTCCTTTGTCTTTCCTCCACTCATTTTTGTTGCTGCCATAATAATCGTGGAAATCACGCCAGAAATCAATGCAACAACAATTGCTGCCATGTAATGCACAATTGGCAGTAGCAACAGCAACAAATGCAGCAATAAACGCAACAACAAAAATGGCAACAAATAAAAGTTCTGCAAAAACAAATTTATGCGCTAATAAATAAGCAAACATTTAAATCGTTTTCAATTGCCATCTCCCACTTCCCACTCAGCTCCCTCCACTGCAGTAACTTTCCCTCTCTGCTCCGATTTTGTGTAATTTATAATTGAATATAATTTGAAATTTTTGTGCCCCGTACGACTACCTACTCGTACATATGTATATCCCCAGAGAATATGATATTTTCCAATTAAACAAAACAAAAGCCATGCAAACTTGAAGCTTGCATGAAATGCAGTCACATGGTGAGTAGTTGTCAGTGGAGGGAGTAGGTGGATTGCGATTTTTAGATACCCACTTAGGGGGCGTCATAAATCTAACACTCGTTTGGGTGTAGGGAATTTTCGAGGAGAAGTTAGGTGAAGAATTGTGGGAGTTCCTTGCCACTGGACACATCATCTATTCAGTTGAATTTAATTTTAGAACATTTAATTTCCCATTCGCCGTCTCAGCATACCCTTCCGCGCTCGCCAACTCCAGGGTATCGTGGGGGTGAGAAATCATAATGGAAATTCTTTGCAAATTGAAATTGCAGCCACTTGAGCGTCAAGAAGAGGCATGGGACATGGCTCGCAACCGAAACTGAAACTGAAGTGAGAGCCTTAGCGAGGGAGGCGTGGCCGTGGCAATGGCCAAACACGACAGCGGAAGGAAGGAAGTAAGGAAGGAAGGCTGTTCCGGGGGACAAACAGTTAAGAAATCACGTCATAAACGCGCCGAGCACGAATTATTTACAAAGCACGCGAAAGCCTAAAAGAAGGCCTCCCCCCCAATAAAATAACAATAAACTATGCTCCAAAGCCCCCGACCCACCAGACTTTTGGGCCATGGTTTGGGTAATAAGCGGGGCTAAGTGGGAGCAGAATGGGTGGGCAGTGGGGTTGGCGAAGGCCATGGCAAGCCATAAAAACAGAACAACAAAAGAACAAGAACAACAAGCCGCAGCGGCATAAACAATTGTGTTACAAATACGACTACAAATGCATAAAGCAGCGACAGAGTCGGAATCCTCCAGCCCCAGCCCCAGCCCCAGCCCCAGCCCCTAGGACAACCAACCACCCACAGAACCCATCCTGCAACGACAAAAGGGAGCAACAAATGTCGTCTCTTATAGACGATTATTTATTGTTAACGATTTATATTTGTTGTTTGTGCTGCTGCCACAGCTGCCTCTGCCACCGCCTTCGCCTTCGCCTTCGCCTCGGCCGGAAAAGCTCACATTTCAAAGCTGCGGCACTCGTACGTGCAGCTGTGTGAGTGCGGCACCAGATTGCAAGCTCCTCCATTCGTTGTTGCCTCTGCGATTGAGCCTGATTGCCGGCTCAAGTGTCGGTCGCGTCACACGGGGCGTATGCGTGTCGAGTGGGTGGCAGTAGGACAGAAGTAGCAGTCAGTGCTGGGCGGGTTGTGGGTGTAGATGGGTCTGTAAGTCCCCCGAGCGGATGGCCTGGGTGTGGCCAGCCATTTAGTGTTGAACATTTTGGCCCCTGCCAACTTTTGAAGTAATTGTTTAATATTCTGTTTGGACTGTTAACAAAGGTGGGCGTTTAATTGATGCTTGTGCAGGTGCGGGAATAATCGTGGCAAAGTTTCGGATGTAACAGGTGTATGTAAGTGTGGTTTTCCGAAATAATATGGCCTGCTTTGGTAGAAAAAGATCTCTATAGATTTACCTGTGGATACCCCACTGACTGGCTTCAATTTGTATACTTTCTCCATTATTAATATCAATCTGAATACTCGTTTATCCGTGTTCATGTTTAGTTATTTCTCTCTCCCTTTTTGCTCGATCGATCACTCAACCTGTTGGCATCACTGGCTGCCTGCTCATCCCGCTCGCTGCTTGGCATCACTGCCTTAGCCATGCTGCGCTGCTCTTCAACTCCAGAGCGGTTTGGTTTGGTTTGGTTTGGTTTGGCCATCAGCCGCAAGTGCTACAGCTTGTGTTCCCACACGTCGCGAGCAGGAGGCAACATTCTTCTTCGTCAACTATGCGGCATGTTTGACAGCAATGAGTGCTTAACACGTACAAGAGCTTTTGTTCGATACCCACTGATGATGCTGTACCATAGCTGTCGTAGTTGTTGCTGCGGCTATTGTTGTCTGTGTTGCTCATTTGCCACTTTATCTTGGCATTGTGCATGTTATTTAGTGAGGGCTTCACTGTTGCCTCACGAAGCTTCCTTTGGCATCCAATGTGTCTCGCATTCATGTATGAGCAGCATCTGTGTGCTCTACTGTCGAAGAAGTCTCAGCAGTTTGTAGCTGTAACTGTTGCTCTGTCTGTCCCTCTGTGCGTGCACATTGTTTTGTGTGACAAATTTTCGTAGGAAATCATTTGCTATGCTCTGTTAAACGATGACTTCTTTATGTCTTTTCCTTTCTCTTTCTCTCTGTGTCCCTCTCCCCTCTCCCCTCTCCCCTCTCTATCTCCCTCTGTGAGTGGGTGTGTACCCCCAATTCATTGAGTATACAGACAGCCTCCAGCTTTAGTTACCCCCAAATCGAGCCCACAACGAACCAATCTAAGAAACACAAGAAGAAGATGAACAATAACCGAATGACCCACTGACCCACACACAAAGTAGCACAAAGATGTTTTACTGTTCTCTGTTCTTTCTATCGTTGTTGCTGCTGCTAAAATTTGTTCATTACTTTTTATCACTAGTATGTACGACGCCCAGACAGTGGCAGGCAGGGCTGAAAGGGTGTAGCTGGCAGTGAGTGACCTTTGCCCTCGAAGCGAAAATGTTGCCCCTCTTCTTTCTGGTATCATCCATTGTACTTCTATTGCCTTTGCAGTGATTTTTTCCCCCATTGTTAATTCCTTTGATTGTTGTGGCCGTTGTTGCCCCCAAAAACTGACCCATGTTGAGGGTGCAGCAGCTGCAGCAACATCCCGCGGCACGCAACATTGCAAAAATGTGTCTGGTCGTGGCCACACGCCGCCATTCCCCCAAACATATAATTATGTATTGTGGATAATACCAAAACCACACATGCACTCTGGCCCACTCCCGCCTCCATTCGCTCTGTGCCGTTCCATTCGCAAAACCTCAAGCCAGACCCCAAAAACCGAACCCCAACTGTGGGTTCAACTCCAACTCCCACTCTCACTCCAACTCCAGCGACGTATTGCTGGCCGCTGGCTAAATGTATTTTTCCTCATTTTTATGCTGCCCACAAATTGCATTCAATTTATTTTGCTTGTTGCAAATCAAAAATCACCATAAAGCAAAATGTTTCCTCCGCAATGTTTGTGGACTGCATAAAAATGTTTAACATCGCATAAAAGTTATTACTTCATTTATTTCAAATGCAAACAATGTTCCCATCCAAATCTGTTGCTCCTGCTGCTGTGTCTGTTTGTGTACTGCGGGGGGAGGATGAACCAACTGCGAGATACATTTGTTTATTGCATTTAAATTGAGTATGTTTTTCATGGATTTCACCGTTTTTGTAAGTGGGGTGCCGGCACAAAGGGGTGCGCTGTCGAAGGGAGCTCTGGGCACGCGCTGGTTTTTTACGATTCCATAATTTTGGTATTCGCGTAACTTTGTTTTATTACTTTTTAAACATCTTTTCATTTTGTATAATTCTAAAAGCGTTAATTAATGAGTCATTACCTTACAATTCAATATTTTCAAGATAAAGGGTAAGTTATTTATATTCATACTTTATACATTGTGTGCAAAAGTGGCTTTAATATTCGGATAGTCGTAAAAATCGTTGTCTCTGACTGCGCTGGAGTATATTTCCGAGGCAAGTTTCTACCCAAGTAAATCCCTTAAAACTTAGTAAATACTGCTGGGAATTACCACAATTTTCTGTATATTTTTTTCCTTTAGAATATTAGAGATTGGGGAGAGAGCATACAAAGAAAAGACAAAAGAATTTCTGAGTGTATAGACGGAATATATTACATATTGTTATTAAATTCTTGCTCATATGAAAAGAATAATGGAGCGGGTAAATGCTGGAAAATTAGTGCCTCATTGTGAAATACTTACCCTCCTCCAGTTTGAAGTGAAATGCGGCGCTGAACTGCAAGTATTTTCATCTCAACTTAATTAATTTGGAAAAGCTTTACACTTTCATGTGAGCCCCCAAAATGCTAAGCCCCATAAATGCAATACAATTTCGGTGTGGATTATGCATATCAAGTGGCAATGCTTTTGTTTATGGCCAGCCACTTGGGACCATTCGCAATCTGCTCTCTGCATTATAACGCAATAAACCGCACAACACAGACAGGGAAGAGAGGTACAGCGGCAGATGGGGAGAGATGATAGAGGGTGTTGACCTGCTACTGAAACTGATGTAAAGTAGTTTCTATATTTTTCAATCAGAAACAATTTCTGTTGTGTAAACTTTGCAGAGCTGCAGATCGGATCAATTTAAAGCCTCTCTCGACTTGCCTCTACGAATGTATGTATTGTGCTTTGTGTATTTGTTTTTTATTTTTTAATAAATACTTAAGTATGAACCGGATATTTCAATATCCTGGCCAGTGGCTGTACCTCTTCCACATACACACAAATACAACTCCCCCCACACACGCCCGAGAGCGAGAGAAAGGAAAATGCTTTTGCGTATTTGCATAAGAAAAACTAAGTTGAACCAAAATCAATGATTGTACACTGCCCCCTGCAACACACTCCCCCGGATAACCCGCAGCTATAGTTCTGAAACACTGCTGGCATAGCGGAGAAGGAGAGATGAATAAGGGCTTGAGGGAGGAGCGCTGGTCGCTTTCATATTATTACTTTATGGTTGCCTCCAGTTATGCATACTATAACCATAAATATGCTCCAAAGGAGCCAAAGTCAGCTAACAACAAGAACGAACGACTAACTTTTTGTGTGTACGAAGATGGCAGTACCCTTGAAGATTGATCGTTTTGGAAAGAAAAAGCTGCAAGTCGAACATATGTGGTCGGGAATCTCATTGAGGAAAAATGAGTTAGCGATCTGTACGCACATATGCCATATTTAAAATAAAAATATACGAAATTTACAGCTCTATGCTTTCCCCTTTGCTAACCTCTAATATCCTCAGCAAGAGTATCACAAGTCCTGCACCAGTGCCCAGATCCCAAGAACACGACTAGAGCCCACACCCAGGCGAAGCTGCTGCTGAAACAGCAACGAGCATTGGAGTACAATGTCTGGAGGGGGATAATATTTTGTGTTTGTATTAATGCAAGCCGCATACATATTTATACTATAACTCAGAACAATAAATAGTAAAAGCTGGATTATGATTAAATCGATTACATGGGGAGCCAAACCAAACATTCGTTACGCTCTCTCTCTCTAAGAGGCTTCAGTCTGCATTGGACTCGGAGATATGCCACGCCTCATGCGGCACGTTCACGCCCCCACGCTTGTTTATCGATTGCAGCAACAGAAAGAAGAAACAATCAAAGAGAGGACACAATCGACATAAAGAAGAAAAACGGAAAAAAGAAAAAAGAAAAAGCAACGCAAGAAAACCATAAAAATGAGTCTATGACGGGATACATATTCATAAATGCAAAACAAATTTGTATGTATTATGAGTCGGAAACGGAATCACATAGAGAGCAGAGCTACTAGCACTCGGACGTGTGTGCGTTTCGAATATGTAAAAAATAAAAAAATAAATACGCAGCATTCGGTTTTCATAACTGAATTGCATGCCCGATTGAATGACGAATGGAAATTGAATGAATACCCCAGCCAAATGCAATTGAAGATGGAAATGGAAATGGCCATGGACCCGTGGACCCATGGACCCGTGGACCCATGGACCCATGGACCCATGGACATGAACGCGAACACGGACACGGTCACAGTCACGGACATAACAAGGTCCCCACACAGACTCGTTCCCCCTGGGGTGCGGGGGATGGACGCTGTCCCCGCCGAATCTGTCAGCCTTTGGCTCGACCCTTTTTTTTTTTAAAGCCGATATATAAATTAACTTTATGCCCCACTCAATGTTTATGCGCGTCAGCTATAAATTTGATTTTAAAGTTATCGAATATTCATTTCAACGAACGCACCAAACAGGCGCCACAGAGTGCATTTTTGAAGAGATTGAAAAGCCCCTTTGCCGCCTGCCCCTTGCCACCCATTCGAGGGTGCTTCATGGTGCATTTATGCAGCGCTGATGACTTTGAGGTGTTATCGAATATTCGTTTGAGCTGTAAAACGAACACTTATCTGCCCCTTAATGTTAGCCTCGGGCAAAAAAGAGCCAATTAAAAAGCATCAATGCAAAAATGATTAACTGCCAGTTGGCCATTTAAGGCAATCGATGAAACGTGTTGCGGATTAAATCAAAGAATATTCTTTGAAGATAAAATATGATGTGCAAACATCACTCATTTGGGCAGCACTTATTCTAGAAAAAATAGTTCATAAATAGCTTAAACTTTATAAACGACAAAAACAGGATGAAAAACAGGTGAATACATCAATGAATGAACATTGTGTGGATTTTGTTTACATTCGAGCACTAGAACGATTACAAGTAAGTAATAAAATCAAAATGCTAATATATTCTAGTTGGTATTTTGTTACGTTTGCAGTGGAAACTTTTTACCATGATTGGAAGTTGTTCCAACGATTACGAGTATGAGTAACATAAGCTATAGAACACAGCAAAGTAAACAGAATCACGTAAACTTCCTAGTTTAGCTAGGAATTCATTCATTCATATTGTATATGTATGAGCATCCGGTTTTTTGATGTCATAATAAACTGCAACTAATGGTATGCCCAGTAGTTATTTGTAGTTACGTAGGACAGGTCTGGTTCTGGGCGACCTGGAATAAACATTGATTGAGTTATAATGCAAAGTTCTCAATCGATTCGCTTCAAAGATCAATTCAGATATCCCTTGGCACATTTTGCACCAAAAACTTTCCTCCATAAGTTCCAAACAATCTCACACCTCCTCGTAAATCGTGCATTGAAAACGAAAACTTCGCTTTGGCTATCTAAATAAATGCAACCTTAAGTGTGGCCTCAAGAGCTCTAATCACTTTCAATGTTCTTCAATAACTTCTTGAAGATCACACACAGAGACGTCAGCTGCCACAAAGCAGCAGCAGCAACGGCCACAGATTCGAAGTTGATGAAGTGTTAATTGAAGCAAACTGAAACGATATACGATACGATACTGAACGACCGATTCAAGAGCAATTTCATAAGTAAGTTCAATGTTAAGGCACTTAAGAGTTGTTAATTGCCAAGCAGACCAGGCCTGATGCAGCAGTTACTTTTATACTTTGTTAGTTAGTTGGTTCACTGGGGGCCATTAATAGAATCTTGGACAGGAAATTTACCAATTAAAAGTCATGATGAACATCGCAGAAACTAGTTAATCATCATCATCATCAGCAGCAGCAACAACAGTGGCAGTGACAGTGGCAGTATCAGGCATCAGCATCAGCATCAGCTTTGGGCTTAGCTTTAGCTCCATCATCCATGTTGTCGTTGTCGTTTCGGTTGATAACTTTTCGCACTTGGCCAAACTTCCGCAGAAGGCGAAACGAAACTTTCATTGAACAAGACTTTGGGGGAATGGAGATGCCTCGTCTCGTCTCGCCTTGCCTTGCCTTGCCTCGAGTTGAGTTGAAAAACTTCAATTAGCATTAATCTTGTTGACAAAATTTGTTTGTGCAAATCAACAGAACAACAAAGACAGCGACAGCAACCAAATTAGAAGGAAAAACATTATGTAGATAACGCATACAAAGATATTTATAGTAAAATGCTGCCATTAAAGCATCGACTGATTTGTGTCTTGGCACCTCCTTCGATGTCCCTGCCCAACAACCTTGTGGCCTGCATTATCTACCCATGATAGTGGCTCTGGCTCTGGCTCTGGCTCTGACTGTGGCTGTGGCACCCTCTCTGGTCTCTGGTTTTTGCGGTCTCCTCTGCACTCTTTGATTTTATGATTTTCCATCATGTCCGCAATATATAGTAGGAGAATGACTGCATGCATTATTGTGGATACTCTAGCAGAGGGTATCACCTCATATTATTGAAGCAAAAGTCGTCACAGCACAAAATATTCACTCTGGCAGTGTGTTCCCAGCTTCGTCCTTGCCATGCTGTATTCCTTTATTGTTCCTTTATTGTTTTTGTGTTGATTTTATTTCATTTTATATGATTTTATTTCATTTTCTTTTTTGTGGCTGGTCGTGGTGGAATCAGTGGACCCGAGGCACTTTGCATATCGATATGATCGGCATGTTATCCGCTCTGGCCATGGCTTTAGCTTTGGCTTTGGCCATGGCTTTGGCTTGGACGGGTCTCTGGCTTGGGGTTGGCTTATGCATCCGTCCACACTGACGTCCAGTTCTGGCTGTTTTTTTGCACAGCAATTGTTCTGGAATAAACCGGCCAACGGCGGCACTCGTGTAATGGCTTAATCGGTTGCATGCATCAATTATGACGAACAGAAGCGCTTCGGGGGGGAGGGAGCAGGAGGAGGAGACTGGTCTGTGTGAGTGGAAAGTTAATTTCCAAGCAAATCGCTCAACCGGTTGACTAATCAATGGCCAAGAATTACCCAATAAGTATACGGTTTGGACAGCTTCTGGTCCAAGCTAGGTCTGGGGTCATGCCTCGACTGGCGATTAAAATAAAAACCCTAATTGTAGATAATTAGCAAACGGCACATAGAAACTGTCTGACTTGGCTTTCTAAACCCATTTCCATTTTGATCAAGTTTTATTATGTTTGCTAGCTGGAAGGTCGCGAGCGAATGCTATCACGTAGAGTGTCGAAAAAATGTTGAAAGATTTCGAAACTGGGACTGGGTCGCAATTGG